ACTGGACTCCAGTCTGGGCGACAGAGTGAGACTCCAACTCAAAAAAAAGAAAAAATCCTGTATCCTAAAATACCCTTCAGTCCTAGACAACCCAGAATGGTGGTCAAGTTACCAGGCAGGGAAGGAGGCCACCTATCTCAGACCTGGACTTGAAGAAGGATAAATGTTTACAAGTGTCCTGCTTTAGAGTTAAGTACTGTCTTAGGCTGAAAGGCAGAAGGGAAACCAAGATTCTCTTTTTTTTTTTGAGTGGTTTCACACTGTTGCCCAGGCTGGAGTGCCGCAATTTTGAACTGCTGGGCTCAGGCAATCCTTCCACCTCAGCCTTTCAAGTAGCTGGAACTACAGGCGTGTGCCACCATGCCCAGCTAATTTTTGATTTATTGTAGAGACAAGGTCTCACCATATTGCCCAGGTTGGTCTCAAACCCCTGGGCTCAGGCAATCCTCTCACTTCCGCCTCCCAAAGTACTGGGATTACAGGTGTGAGCCACTGCACCTGGCAAAACCAAGACTCTTATGCTGGCAGTTTATTGAGGGAGTGCTCCAGTTGAAGTCAAGTTATGGAAGCAGTGTAGGGCAGAGGAAAAATGCTAAGCATGAATGTGCTCACCAATGAAGACTGCCATCAGCTTGATCCCATTAGGGGCTCTAGAACACAAACTTCTTTGAGGTAAAAGGTCAGTCTTTTGTACCTCCATGAAAGAGATGTGGCCATTTTTTCCTAGGCCTCAAAGGTCTCAAAATTAGGGTGCATTAGAATCACCTGGAGGGCTTGGGAAACCAGATGGCTGGTCCAACCCCAGCCAGCAATTCTGATTCATTGGGACCTGAGAATTTGTATTTCCAGCAAGTTCCCAGGGGATGTTGGTGCTGCACTTTGGAAACTTCTGCTCTAGAGAAGACAGCTGTGGGGCTTTACTAGTCAGCACCACAGCATCTGGTAAAGGGGATCTGGGAAGCGTCTACTGCATGAAGGCACAAGCCAGGGCTAGACGGACTTGACCACAGATCAGGGCAAGGTAGACTACATCTTTATGACAGAATACCTAGACTCATGGCATCCTGTATTTTCCTGTTGTCATCCCATACCTCCTGCAAAAAGCACTGTTGAAACATTCTAATTTATCTCATTCTTGTTATTGAAATTCAAGAGAAAGATCCAGGCTGGGCACAGTGGCTCACATCTGTAATCCCAGCACTTTGGGGTCCAAGGCGAAAGGACTGCTTGAACCCAGGAGTTCGAGACCAGCCTGTGCAACATAGCGAGACCTCATCTCTGAAAAAAAAAAAATTAGCTGGGTATGGTGGAACGTGCCTGTATTCCCAGCTACTCAGGAGGCTGGGACGGGAGGATTGCTTGACCCCAGGAGGTCGAGGCTGTGGTTGTGCCATTGCACTCCAGCCTGAGTGACAGAGTGAAAGCTGGGCTCGGTGGCTCAGCCTGTAATCCCGCGCCTTGGGAGGCTGAGGTGAGTGGATTGCCTGAGCCTGCGGGTTCGTAGACCTGCCTGAGCAACTTGGCAAGACCTCATCTCTACAATAAATCAAAAATGAGCCAGGCGTGGTAGCGCACCTGTAGTTCCAGCTCCTTGGAAGACTGAGGCGGAAGGATCACTGGAGCCCAGCAGGTCGAGGCTGCCGTGGTGGGGAGCGGCCACTGCACTCCAGTCTGGGCGACGGAGTGAGACTCCAACTCAAAAAAAACAAAACAAAACAAGGAAAAGAAAAAGAAAAAAGAAGAGTCTGGCAGGTGCATAAGGTTCTGAAGAGGGCGCAGCCGCAACTTGCTAGGCAAGTACAGTGGCGTCAGTTTCAAGGAAGTGGAAAGTCTTCAAGCTGGTGATAAAAATTAATATTTGGGGACAAGGCCCTAGATCAACTTTGAAAGTTGTTTATTTGTGAAATTAGGAAGATGACTTTCCACGGCAACTTTTAATTCCATAAACCCCACCAGAACCCATAGCAAACAGTCCCTGCCCCCGGGGCTCACCACCAGGTGAAGCTGAATATGTAGAAGGCGTGGCAGAGCTTGGCCCGGGACACCTTCTCCAAGGGGTAGCGCTCATAGAACACCGTGTATCCCTGGGCCTTAATGTCCATCTCCACGCAGTGCAGGAGGTCGTCTCTGTCTGGGGCCGCCTTCCAAGGCCCGAACTTGACAACAGACTTCTTGTCAGCCTCCAGGACCCGAAGAGCCTCCGCACACCACGTCTCTTGCTCCTCGGTGGGCACCGCGCACACTATCACGCTCGACCTGCGCGCGCCCACGGCCTCGGCGCGCGCCAGGCGCACCATGAGCTCCAGGTTCTCGCTGTAGCCTGGCACTCGCAGCACGAACTGCTTCCGAGCCACCTGCTCGCCGAAGATCTGCGGCGTGTCCTCCAGGAGCTTGACCAAAGGCTTGATGTCGTAAAACTGAGCTTCACGGTACACTTCGGGGATGTTCTGCGTGGGCAGTTGCCCGCTGCGCAGGTAGTCCAGGATGGGCCCAAAATAGGAGCCGGGGCGATCGATGAAGAAGCGGCCCTTGGCGTCCCTGCAGGTCTTGGCGAAGCTGGAGAACATCTCGGCTAGCTTTGAGTCCGGGAGTTTTCTCAGGGTAGCCAGGGTGGTGGTGTAGAACTCGCCCCCCACGTTCAGCTCCACAACGGTAGAGACCTGGGGGGCACAAGAGGCAGAGTGAGTTCACAGCGCCAGCTCCAGGGAGCTCATGACTTGTTATCCTACCTCCCTCCCTCCCTTCTTCCCTCCCCTCCTTCCTTTCTTCCTTCCACAAAAGGCAGAGTGAGCTCATAACGCCAGCTCCGGGGAGCTCATGACTTATTCTCCCTCCCTCTCTCCCTTCCTTCCTTCCTTCTTTTTTTTCTTTCTTTCTAAGATAGAGTCCTGCTATGTTGCCCAGCCTGACCTGGAACTCCTGGCTTCAAGCAGTCCTCCTGCCTCAGCGTCCTAAAGTGTTGGGATTACAGGCGTGAGTCACTGGCCTGGCCATGACTTATTTTCATCCAAAGAATAACCTGGTACAGAACTTAGGGGAGCCATGACGATTGGCTTCAGCTATTGGAAGACCTGTCTTACTGAAGAAGGGGTTATGTTTATGCTTCTATCTCCAGAGGGTGAGCATTTTCAGGAGGATACAGAGTTCTGTTTGAAAAAAGAATACCCACTCAAGCATTTTTAACTTTTTTTTTAAGGTCACAGGTTGTTATGAGAGGAGGCTGCCATGGGAGGAAGTCCCAACAATAATACTTCCAAAGTCTATGGCCTTTGGCAAGCCTTTTTCCCTCCCTAGGCCTGTTTCCTCATCTATAAAATGGGGATATGGCATTGTTGTGAACTCAGGAGTTTCTAACCTGGATGCTTGACCATATGCCTAAGATACAGTAAAAGATGATGGTGAGTGGGGAGGAGCATTTTCAACATTTCTTAGGCCAGGTGCAGTGGCTCAGCCTATAATTCCAGCACTTTGGGAGGCTGAGGCAAGAGGATTGCCTGAGCCTGGGGGGTTCGAGAGCAACCTGGGCAACTTGGTGAGATCTCATTTCTACAATACATCACACCGGGCGTGGTGGTGTGTTTCTGTAGTTACAGCTGCTTGGAAGCCTGAGGCAGAAAGATCACCTGAGCCCAGTAGGTTGAGGCTGCAGTGGCCTTGAGTGTGCCATTGCACTCTAGCCTGGGCAACAAAGAGTGAGACTCCAACTCACACAAACAAACAAACAAAAATTTCAGAAAGCCTAGATAAATCATTCATATATTCATTCAGGAAGCATCTTTTGGTACTTACTGTGTGCCCATATCCTGTGCTAGGAGTTGGGGACAAAAATTCTTATTTTACAGAAGTCAGAAGTTCTGATTGGCAGTTGGCATGCCCTTGATTGATTGAAAAATAAAATTTGTTTGTCTTTAAGAAACAAAGTCTTGCTCTGCTGCCCAGGCTGGAGTATAGTGGTGCAATCATAGCTCATTGTAGCCTCAATCTCCTGGGCTCAAGTTATCCTCCAGCCTCAGCCTCCCCAGTAGCTGGAACTACAGATACAGGCCAGTGCACCCAGCTAATTAAAAAAAAAATTTTTTTTTTTTTGAGTTGGAGTCTCACTCTGTTGCCCAGACTGGAGTGC